AGCAATCATTTGTTATTTCACTTAAACGCAACCCGTTACGAGGCAAATACTGTGTTAAATGGATGTAGACCCACTTGGCTTAAGATAAAAGCAGATCTAAGCGTATTGGAGCTACTCTCTGTTGGAGTTAGGGGAGAGAATTTCGAGTGTATGTGTTAACCGGATTTAGTTAATTGCTTGACAAAGGGTTTGGGGGGGGGGCAATAGTTCAGCAGTATCTAAATGCCCCTACTGGACGTGAAGGGACAGGTACTAAGATGTGTTCAGATGGGGGGGGGGGGGTTTGATTAACTGTTTTTTATTTTTCTTTAATGTGGTTGTGATATGATTTTGACGATTTATTGCTGTTGTGATCATCAATATACTGCCTAAATTAAGGTCATCTAGTGAGCAATCATCCACTTTCAGCTCGAGAAATTTTAAAATGAATTTACTTCTACTAGCAGATTGCTTTTTTATCACCATCACCTTCATTAACGTCCATTTTAGATTACTAGACCGTGAATTTTTCTCCCAACGATGATATCCAGTTATCTGCTAGATCTTGTTAGGATACATTTGATTCCTATTACGACTCTAAGTTGTTTATTAAGAAGGGTCTCTTGACATAATGACATTCAAAACTTAATCCACTTCGGGTTCATAACAGTTTTTGTTCCAGCTATCAGGGTGCCAGGAGCACTTTTCACCTTGGCGACCACATACGCGTTGTGAGTTTTTCATTTTGACACAAAGCAGTGTTCTAGTATCCTTCCGTTATGTTGCCACCTGCGTCTCAATCTAGAAGCTCCACTGATTTGTGTTACGATGCTACTCTACGATTTATGGTTGCCAAGACGAAAGATCTGTAGTTCTTAATACGCTTTCAATTTGCTTATTGGGAAAGATTGGCTGCCTGGTTAGCCAATAATCGATTCGGTAGCAAACCGCTTCTAGTCAGGGTACCTCCCTAGTTGCGTGCTTTTAATATCTCCCATATGCATGCTTAGAAACGAGAGAATTCATTAAAAAATTATATCAATTTGTTCGTCTTTTTAGCTCAGTTGCTAATTCTAAGGTTCAACTCATTTTCCGCTTAGATTCCCATAGTTTCAATGTGGCCAATATATATATCTTACTCACAAATTATAAGTAATTGTTGTCTTTTGCGTTGCCGAATAGATGCCGCCTTATGGTTATTCAAGTGGCCCGCCACAGGCACCACCGCAATCCCAACAACCTCCATTTTCAATGCCACCAGGTAGTGGTGGAGGCGAATACGGACAATCCCGCTATGACAGTGCTGGGCCACCACAACTCCCACCTATGGGTGGAATACCTCCTAATGTAGGGGTTGATCCTAATGCAGGTGCGATGCCGCCGAGTGGACCTCATCAAGTCCCTCCACAGTCTGTTAGTGGGGTTCCACCGCAGCAACAATTGTCAGTTAAATCAGGTGCCACTCCTGGTGGGCCTTCACAACCTGATTCTGTAACTATTCAACAAAAGAGCCAGGCGCCGCCACAAGTATCATCCAGGTCTACTCTTGTGGCAGCAGAATCCACACCGAAGCCTCAAGTAACTGGATCAGCAGACCAGCCACCCCAACACCAGATCAATCAGCCGGGTGAGGATCCGCCTCCGTCAGAAACGAACTCTACACCTCCACTATCGCATCCACCGTCATCAACCTCGTCTAACTGAAATAAAAATGTGTAATCAGCGTCTTTAATGTTGTAAGAATCTAAAATCGCCTCCCCCCTCCCCCCCCCTGGATTTTACCATCTCTTGCGTGCGCCCTTTTGTCGTACCGGTTCCGTCTTAAATTTAAACATCCCTTCATTCTGTTCCACCCCTTTTGTTTTACTTTGACAAATACAATATAGGAATAAAATCAACTTGAAACAAGCCGTTGGTTGTTAATGGGAATCCAATTACCAGCTTATTCATTCAGCTTATTGGCTTGATTAAAGTTACATGAGATATTGAATCAGCCCGCCAAATCAGTGCATAAGGTGTCTTAAGTTGTTTGAATTGTGAGAGCAATAAGTCAATATAATATTCGGATTTCATGATTCATGTCCGCACTGATCAGGATGCTTTGACTGATTGATTTTGTACTTAGTCAGGTCAAAAGACGGGTGGAATATCGTAGAGTGCTTATGTTGGAATTGCGCAGCGAGAAGACATATTCCACGTGATTGGTGGTCAGCGTGCAGACGTTCATCAGTGGAAACAGCTTGATATGTAGCTCAAAAGAGGAGGGGGAAGTGCGACAACCAGAATAACAGAGAACCACAATTAGAACTCCAAATCGGATTATAATCCATCGATAATTTTTTTCTGAATATCCATTAACTAGTTACACAAGTGCACCTTATCCTTCTTATATTGAAACAAATAACCATCTCTGGCAAGAAATGAAACTCTTAATTAAGCTAGTCAGTTACCCGCGTTTTTGTTTGACCTTCAGCAAAAGTTTGGTTTCACCGTCCTCCCCCACCGCCACCACCATCATAAAGTGCTATGATAACGCTGTTGAAGAGTGACGTGGTGTAGGGCAAAATGTTGGAAAAGCAATGAGGTTGGCACGGGTGCTAGTTTGCAGATTCTGACCAGTTTGTGGGGTTAGCCTATAAACCGGACAAAAGTCACCGGCTCCAAGAAATTCTCCTTCTCACTTTGTTAACAACACCAATTGCGGGTACAATTAAGAGGGAACGTAACGAAACACTCTCCCTGTAATAGTTTGTATAGTGTTAAGATTTTCAATACCAATAGGTAGGCTTTATGATAGTCATGTTTAGCCCTTTTAATTGACTTCTGGCTTCACAGAGGGGAGGAGCATCAACATCACAAAATCGCGAGAATGGAAAAGTATAGTGATTCACAGATGCAAAAGCGAGACAGACATGAAGGTAGAGAGTAGGGTAAGGTGAGTACTGGAGAAGTGGTACTGGTCATGGTAGCTTGAAGTCAACTGCCGGATTATAGACTTCATTGCCAAATGAGCAAACGTTGCCCAGGGTGCACCACGTGGAGGTAAATCTATCGCGCACCCCATATCATTAAAGTATTTGAATCTATTATTGCTAGGTAAATTACAGCAAATCTTAAGGAAAGCGATAAATAAAAATCGCACATTTGCAGACAGTACAGTTTGAAGGCGCTTTTTTGCCACGCCATCGCTCCTAGGTCGGAGTTCATATCCCTCCCCCTCCCCCGGCAAGTTGGTGATACCTCACTGAACATGGACCTAAACCGAAGTTTCGGGGGGGGGGGAGTGTGGTAAAGTGGAAAACGAGGTAGGTTAGATTATTGCAGCGGCAACGGCAGTTTGACAGGGTAGACGGATTGGATGACAAGTGAGACGTTGCATTTAAACCGCTAAGATTGAACTGGATGGGAAGTTTTGGTCGGTCACCCGACAGACTCGTCGTGGGTGGCTTTTTTTCCGGCCATATGAAAACTGTGGGAAAACAACCAGATCTTGGCAACCAAGCCGTCAGGGCAACTAATAATTAAAATTGGGAAAATGTCGATGATGCTAGACAATTTGATCACCTCGTTTTATGTACAAACTTAATTTTTCTTTCTTTTGGCAATTATTATTATTAATTTAAACATTTCCAAATCAGAGCTCAAGGTATTGGTAATTTAACATTGACTTCGTTTTTTTCTTTTCATTCGAGGACTTTTCATTGATTTCTGAAATAATACGTACTTAAATTAAATATAGGATGTAACATATGCATAGTAAAATTCGCTCAACAATATCAGCCAATCATTACGAATAAATCTGACCCAAGACTAAGACTAAGCACATGAAGGTTTCTTAATATTATTAATCAGGGGTGTGCGATAGACTTACCTCCACGTGGTACACCCTGGGCAACATATACTCATACGGCAAAAAGTTTGTTTACTGGCAGTTGACTTCTCACCGCAAATTACCATGACCCCACTGTATGTCATATTCGACCCCTTCCACATAGGGTCACATGGGGGGGGGCGTGTTGGTTAAGCGTATACTCCTATTCAGTGAAGGTGCTTCGCCAGGCACGCAGTCTAAACTCTACAACAGCTTCGATTCTTGGCCAGTTGGCTATGTTGGACAGTACCACTGTCCACTTCTTCCCCTTCGTACGAACTTTAAGTTCGTTGTACCTTGAAGTCTTGAATTCTCTCCTGATTGTGGTCTTCATTGTGCGGAAATACATCGAGCGATATATGCCTTGCAATGTTGTCGTCCCCTTCTTGGCAAGTGTTAACTAAGGAATATACAAACTTAGCAAATGAAATTGGTAGCTCAATGCATAAAGATGAACCAATTTAATTTAACCCCCCCCCTTTGATGAGCTGGTGTGTTTACTTTGATTTCGGAGATAACTTTACACTCGCCTTGCAGAAACTTTGAACAGCCTCAATTTCTCCTACAGACCAATCAAATTGTTTAAGCATACTGGAAGTGTATAATCACTCATGTGACTGACTATTTTCAGCAGGTTGTAATATTCTTCAAATTTTTTTTTCATATTTTTCTTTTTTTATGTCTTTCCGCGACTTCTGTCAATAGATCGACCCCTCTCAACCTTCTACTCGCAGCCTTTTAGATTGAGAGGGGAATAACTGGAAGAAGTTATGTAGATGCTTCCGGAATGCAAATATTTGTCATGACATTGAGGGCATTAAATGCAATTGTTTCTGGTGCTTATTCATTCAACAAAAATGCCAGATGATCCACCCTATTTTTTCCACTGACAAAAATGTAAAATTCCCCTTTCACACATATTTTTTATTCTTTTTAACTTCATAATTATTATTAACTATTTGGTCCTCTTGAAAGATATCTTCCTTTTTTTTGAAAATTAAACAAATCTTTTTTTCAAGTGGCAAGTGTTGTAAGAGTTATCATTAGCCATTCAGCTGACTCCAGGCTTCACAGAGAGGAGGAGGAACATCAAAGTGACAAAAAGTCGAGATGGGGGACAGAATACTGATTCAGAGACGTGAAAGAGGCAGACAGACACAAAGGCAGGGGAAGGGTAAGATGAGTACTGCGAAAGTGGTGGAATATGACATACAGTGGGGTGATGGTAGTTTGATGTCAGAAGTCAACTGCCGGTTTATAGACTTTTTTGCCGCATGAGTATACGTTGGCCAGGATGCACCACGTGGAGGTAGGTCTATCGCACACCCCAATTTAACACATCTAAAAGTACTGAAATGATGGCAACATGGAAGTTATCAATTTAACTGATAAATATGTGGCGAAAGTAAAATTGACATTAGAATAGTAGACAATTAGATAAACCGCATTGCCTAATTTATGCACGCTGTTGTGGCTTGAATTGTTTTTTGTCTATCTTTTTAACTATAACGCTTTAATTAATTCAAATTACCTGTCCACTTATTATGAGTGGGAGTTTAATAATTCCTTATAGAGGGAAGAATAAAGTAGCTATTGTTTATATTTTATGCTCTCTCGAGTTGGACAAGTAGACGTTATTTAGTGAAGGTTTATTTCCGGTGGATTTCGGTAAAAAATAGCGG